TATTGATGATTATTATTTAGCTACACAAGTTTAAATTTGATGTCCAGTGCGCGCATAATTGCCTGAAAGGAGAAATGCTAATCCAGCTAGAAGAAAGGAGTTAATTTTGGGAGTGATAAAAATGACTGCAAATAATGTTACTACATTATTGAATAATCCTTCATCCTTGTGTAGTTGTTGAATCGTGAATGAGTAATTTACGGAGAAAAAAAAGAACTAGACATGTAATGAGTCAAAGTATTTTCTGCTTGATGTAATTTAATCAATCTTTTAGAATGGCAATTGATGTCATCTATTACTAAAACTGACTAAAATAAGTTTAAATGAATAGATTATAAAAATGTTTTCGAAGTTTTCTTTTCATTCTTAGAATTGTGTGAAAAAGTTTTATGCAGAAAATAAAGTTGTGATTTTTAAATGTTATTTTTCTTGCTTTAAGAAAATTTCAAAAAAGTTTGCTTTACGTGCAAAGTTTTTTTCTTATATTCAGGTGATTTTCATATCAAATGTTCATAAATAATAGTGAGTAATTTATGGTTTTGATATTTATTTTGTTGATTGTTTATTAACTGTACACTATCTAAAGCTCGTGATTTATCACGTACGTTCTTTAAAAGCTAAAATATTTTTAGGAAACTAATGATTTGATAAATTTGAAAACTTAAAAATGAACTTCCTTTGAAAAAAAAATTGGATGACTGCAATGTAGAAAAACACTTAGTTAAAAGAGAAGCACATTTTATTGCAAAATTATGTGAAATCATTGAAATGATCAATCGAATTCCTGATCCCTTCAGATAGAAAGTTATTTTAAGCAGCATATATAATCTATATATTCATTTCTCTTATGTGGCACCTAAAACCCGGGTATTTCTCTATTTAAATTGTCAACTCTATTGTTATCTAATTCATTTCGCAAGATAGTGTTAAGCAATAATTTAAATAGTGTTGAATAGTTAGTTAATTGTTCGGTATTTCTTAAGAATATTTAGAACAATTTTGTAGGCCGGAATAGGCTGGTTTGTAAGGCGTTGGGCCCATGTCCAAAAGGTCGCGAGTTCAATCCCCGCCAGCCGAAGAAAATGGTGCCTGATGCACGTTAAATCTGTCTCGTCACTAAGTCCTCCATGTTCCCATAACAAATCATACTTCTGAGGGAACTGAATTGGATATTGATCATTCCTTGGTTCAAGTCAAAACTATGACCTGTGAATGAATGAATGGATCAATGAATAGGTCCTCTTTATAAGCGGGTTGTGACGTGTGTGCGGCTGAAGTCGTATTCTTGGCCATAGATGGCATTCTGCCTTAAATTCACTTGGTTTCATCGAGTAGGCTTGCTGGATGGGCTACAACAATAACAAAACAACACCAACAGAATAACAACAATAATTTTGTATTTTTTATAACAATAAAATCTCAGTGACGAGTTGAATAAATATGTGATATACAGTGTGCTCTGAAATGACAATCCTTAATCCTTTTTAGTATCTTTGTGAAAATTAAAATGAAAAGGTCAACATATTACAGATAAAATATTGCTTAAGCGGTGTAAAAGAAACAAAAATGTAACCCAAATCTTATAAATCACTACTGAGGATGTTTGAAAACAGCAAAACCTGTTTGATTACCGGAAAATCTAGACGTTTTGAAGGGTTCTGTTAAATTGCGATCCCTAATATGTACAGTGCTTGGCGGACTTTCTTAGATTATTTTTGATCTAATGATCGGTTCTTCACGTTCCAAGACTCAGTTTTAATAGTTTGAGGATGTGACCTCAAATGTTCTAATTAATCACTGCAGACTAAATGATATTTTAAGCCGCGAAATAAGACACAAAAACGTACCTTCTCTGAATAAACGATGCCTTTTTTTAAAGGAATTAGATTTGTGATCCCAAAAATATAGGGGGACCCACAAAATTCTTTGAAGCATGGTCCCAATAATTTGTTCAGGAGAGAAGTCCCAAGTTTCGGGCTCTTTAATGCTAATATTACGTTTAGCGTATTTCTCCATAACTTTTAAAACAAATCTTAAAAATTTTGCATACAATTATAAAAATCGTTTATCCAATGATAATTTCAGGGAAAAAATAACTTATAGTAAATATTTATTATTTTATTGAATGATAGTCGAAAGAAATTGAGTTTAAGGTATATAATCTTGTTCATCCTTTTAAAGTATGTAATTTTACATAGAACAAAATACAAAATTTGAGCAGAATCAGTCGAATAGTTCGTGAGAAATAAGGGGTTCAAACTCTGGACCGCTCTCCTGACCAAACTATTGGAACTGGATCATAGTTCCCTGATTGCGGCTAGCCCCTTTATTTCGGGGGTGAGAAATAAAATGATTCAAAAAAAGGTATGTTTTTTCAATGAAGTTATGTTTTTGTATCTGTTTTAGTAATTTAAAATATCGTAAGCACTAAATAATTAGCATATTTGAGGTCTACCATTAAAATTGAGTCTTAGATCGAAAAGATCCAATCACTAGATCAATAGTTATTCAGGGTAGTCCTTTTTTTCTCTTTTATTTGCTCACTGTACAATATTTTTACTTTAATTTTAGAAGGTTTGGAGAAATACGAGAATGATGGAACATATTGTATAAGTTTTAATTATTGTAAACAAAATGTGTGTAATAGTGTTTTGAATTGTAATTTTATTTCGGTTATTGAACGTTATAACATATTCAATTTTGTTGGAAATTCTCGTTCTTTGATGAACTTTTAGCGTACTGTTCTAAAGAAGCTATGAATTTCACACAATTGCTTATTAGTGATTCGAAAAGCTAGTTTGATTCTCTGGTGTTAAAAAAAGAAATGTCTTTTGAATGTAAAAAGATTGTGGCGTAATTACCACTACAATTATTAAACATCAATTCACTAATACATAAGACATGCTAACTTGATTCAATCGTGAGGTACCTTTCGATAGATGAAAGTTGGCATTGTCTAGTGGTCTTGTCCCAACATTGGTGACTTGCGGAAGTGATATGATCACGCTTACTTCGAGGGATGGTTCACGTTGACTTGTAATTGTGACTGCGTCATCGTCCTCCTCACGCTGTTGCTTCTCAGTATCATTTACACACGACTGGTTTCTGTTCACACTCGACTGCTAATAGCAACACAGGAGTGATCACACACACAACCATGAGCTTAATATAGCTCTCATAGCTAAAGTTCAAAACCCGGTCACCTTAATCCAGCTCTCTCGGTCTTTCACAAATACAGCAACTAGTGGTAACCGTTCATCGAATTCTATCCCTGATAAAATTCTGGTGGGGAGTATTGTGGCGTAACTGTCACCACGATTATTAAACATCAATTCAATAGTATATAAAACATGCTAACTTGAGTCAATATTGAGGTACCTTTTGATAGATGAAAATTGACATTGTTTAAAGGTCTTTCCCCACTAGATAATGATATCAAAAGATCAGTGATAAATGAACATATATGAAAAAATAAATCATAGCTTAAAAATAAAAAAAAATGATGAAAAAATAAAAATATAAATAAAGTTGGTTGAAGGGACTGGTATTAATTGCTGATTGATTAATTGAATTTTTGATACAATGGCAAAAATTGGCTTGACATGAGTCAATTATTTAGTATCATTATAAACAATAGCTTGTTTTTAGAAACTAATTGTAATTAAACAATTTATAGAATAGTTTTATTCTTAAAAAATCGATAATGCCTTATTATGCGATTCCGAACAGCAATTACGAGCTTGTAAGGGTGGTAAGGAGCATCATAAAGATGGAGAATTGCATAGAAACCCATGGCTGCGACAGAACTTCCTTATTATAGACTAGTTGCTCGTGCACTTTTGAATAGGTAGTTTCATTTGTACAAATTATCTTAATTTTGTGTAATTGCTAAATTTTCTAAAAATTATAGCAAAAGTTTCACCACTTTTAGCTTAGTTGATTGATTTTGTGACTAAATAGTTACCACTAATTTGATAATTATATTATTAAATTATGAAATTACTATTATGCTCACAAATCTGATTAGAACACTAAGAGTTCTAAGTAAAATTTGAAATATGATCTTTTTTTTTCTTTTTTCCAATGCCCACCTGGAAAATGACCTAGGTCATACAAGTATATGAAGGGCAGATTTGTTGGCCACTCTTTCAGGGGCACCATATTATGTGGGCTAACGTTGCTCCCACAGTAAACAGAGAAGGAAAGACTTGCCCGGGATTCGAACCCAGAACCTTTCTGATGTAAGGGCAGTTCCCTAATCCCTACACAGGCCGGTCGGCTAAAAATATGATCTATAACGGGTGTTTTGTTTTTTAAACTTCATGTTTATGTTTCTGTAATTTGGCGTGACTAGTACAGAACTCGTCAATAACGTGTGTTTTGTTTTTGAATTGCTTGTATATGCTTCTGTAATATGGTGTGACATGTGACAACATGGAGTTAGTGAGCCGCGATGGCTCAGGGGATAGAGTGTTCGCTTTCCAATGAGGTGAACCGGGTTCGAATCCCCAGCAATGGCTGGTCGAAGAGAATCCGCATCCGGCATCCCACCACAGTGCTGACGTGAAATATCCTTAGTGGTTGACGGATCATGGGTTAAAGCCCCTTTGCCGTCAGGCTAACCGTGGGAGGTTCTCGTGGTCTTCCTCTCCATTTACCGCAAGTGCGGGTTACTTCCATCAAAAAGTACTTAACGAAGGCAAATTCCACCCAATACTTGATCCAGGAGTTCCCTTGTCTTCTGGATTGGGTTCAAAATTACAGGGCTACGAATTTGAGCATTAGTAATCGTAAACCCAAAAAAATTGGGTCGGCTGTTCAACAACGGTTACTAAAAAAAATATGGAGTTGGTGAAGTGTCACTCTTAGGGGAAAAGAAATTTGGAAGAAAAGTCAAAGATATTGAAAAAATGTAACATCATTTACGGACGGTCCATTTTCTTAAATATGATGAGTTTTATGTTATATTTTATTCATTTATTTATTTATTTCACTTTTAGGTTGGAAAACAAATGTAATACCATCTGATTCATTGTGTTTAAGTCCTGTCACAAAGCTCTGGAAGAGAAAGTCGAGATCTGAAAATGAAGAAGCTCAAGACTTGAAAGAAATTACTGAATAAAATATTTTTCAGTTTTTCGATTGAAGAATATTGAATTGCTATTAAGACATACAGATATCAAAAACCCGAAAATATTCTCACTCGTAAATAAGATCCTTCTTTTTGACGATTTCTAAGGAACTATCAGTCCTTATGTTTGACAATCATTTCTACAGCGAATCACTGGACTTTAAATGAAAAGCAAATTCTCTATAATTTAACGAAATCTTTTTTTATTTGTCATTTTAGCAAATGCTAAGAATTGTCCAACCGTTTTTTATCAGATTTAAAAAAAGAAACATCGCTGAAATTTTGTGACGGGATAGTACAGGATTAGTGCACTCCTAAGGTTATTCATCAACTCATACTCCTGCTAATATTTTTACATTTTTTAATCATTTGTGTTAATTAATAAGATGCATGTAGCCAAATTCTTTTGACGAAATTAATATCCTCTATCAATTCTAAATAGTAATCGTCTCAATTAGACAAAACGTTCGCTAGGAACAATATTCAGGTATCGGTTTCGTCAATAACGGAGGAAAATTTTGAATAGCCATTCTGACAGTGTCATAAATGTGTTATATTTATTAAAGTCTATATTATAAAAAATTTATATTAGCTTATTAGCCCATTAACCCCTTAATGATTATTTTAAAGCTATATTTATATTTCATAATGTAGAAAAATGTCTTTTATGAAGCAGAATATATCTCTACAAAAATTTATGAAAATGTTTTCTTAGGTAAGAGAAACAATTTTTTTTTATAGAAATTCGCTTTTTATTTTTAAAACAAGTTTGTGATGACTTGTCGCGTTCGACAAAAATTCAAATATACTTTTTTATCAATTATTTTTGCGCAAATACAGTTTACTTTCATAATATCAAAACTCTTTTTTTGCGGTCCATTCATACATATAAGAAACTTTTAAATTTTAATTTCATTTTTTAGTATTATTTAGTGTCAATTTTGTTTATCATTGGGCGAGTTCTCTGACTTAAAGTTAGATCTGCCCAATTTTAAAATCCTGTTTATATTTCCCTCGTGAAGTTACATTATTTAGTAGTGTAATTTTTTTTATCAATATTAAAAACTATTCGTGAGATTATTATTACAGAACAAATGAGATTATTACAGAACAGATTATTACAGAATTATTACAGATTATTACAGAACAAATTAAAACCTTAACAATAAACAACATTTTATTGGGCATCTTAGAAACTTACGGAGCATTCTTATCATAAATCTGGTTGGTTTCAGTTTTCCTCAATAGCACTGTAGCGTAACTACCACTATAAATATTAAATACCGAATCACTAGTATATAACACATGTTAACTTGATTCTAACACTAGGTACCTTTTGATAGATGAAGGTTGACATAGTCGATAATAAAATCTCTACAGCACCATTCAGATTCTTAGTTTCTCATTACTTATTTTATATGCAAACGATTCAGATGAAAAAGTTATATTTTCAATTGAAAAAAGTTCGTTATTAAAAAAATTAATTAACAGTAAATCATTTATTTCATATGAGAGAAGGATGAACTATATCCGCTCTCTCCTCTGATGTTAAAATTGATTTAACTTTTACAGCTCTTTAAGTACGGTAATGATTTAAACCTCTTGAACAATTTTAGGGAACAATTTACTGGCACCATGTCAAGGAACTCTACAACTATTTTCTCATAAAACTAATTTTAAAGTAAGAATTTCGGTTTATTTTTGCAGGATGATTCATAATTAATGATTACAGCTGTAAAGTGTGAGAGATCCTGGTAAAACAAAAAAAAAATTGCGGGGTTAAAAGGTAAAGGGCAAGTCACGAAAGAGCTTCTGTTAAGTGAAAATTAATTCGATAAAGATCAATCGACGTACTATCTTAACTCTAAACCTTTGATTAATTTGTTTCATCTTCTCATATCTTAAATCATAAAATTTTATTTTCGTAGTTCCAGAAATTTAGGGAAAGAATTCTTTTCTTTGTTTCCTGTATTAGACCTTACTCTTTTTCATTTTTTCTTGACTGTTAGCTATCCATAGTAAAGATCTGAAAATATATTTATTAATTATAACTTATCTTCTTTTCTTTGAAAATATGAAAAAAATATTTTTGAAAACTTGAATTGATTAACTAAAAAATTAAAATATTACGTCTTGAAATTTTAAAATCAGATTAATTAAGTCTGTAAAAGAGCTAGGAACATCATTTTATCAAAGTTTAGTTATTTTTATCAGGTTTAGTAAATTAAATTAGACAAAAAGCCAACTAATTTTTAGCGTTTTAATGAAATTTCGATTTTGTGATATCACGCGCGAGATGAAAATTATTCTTCATATTTTTTCGTTTTTTTAAAAAGTTTTATACGTTTAATGAATTCGTACAACAGAAATAATAAATTAATGTATAAAAATAAAATTTGAAAACTTAATAATAATTTATTCGATCATNATATTCAGGTGATTTTCATATCAAATATTCATAAGCAATAGTGAGTAATTTATGGTTTTGATATTTATTTTGTTGATTGTTTATTAACTGTACACTATCTAAAGCTCGTGATTTATCACGTACGTTCTTTAAAAGCTAAAATATTTTTAGGAAACTAATGATTTGATAAATTTGAAAACTTAAAAATGAACTTCCTTTGAAAAAAAAATTGGATGACTGCAATGTAGAAAAACACTTAGTTAAAAGAGAAGCACATTTTATTGCAAAATTATGTGAAATCATTGAAATGATCAATCGAATTCCTGATCCCTTCAGATAGAAAGTTATTTTAAGCAACATATATAATCTATTTATTCATTTCTTTTATGTGTTTATGTGGCACCTAAAATCCTCTATTTAAATTGTTAACTCTATTGTTATCTAATTCATTTCGTAAGGTAGTGTTAAACAATAATTTAAATATTGTAGAAAAGTCAGTGAAATGTTAGGTATTTCTTTGGAATATTTAAAGCAATTATATAGGCCGGAATAGTCTGGTTGGTAAGGCGTTGGGCCCATGTCCAAGAGGTCGTGAGTTCGGTACTCGCCAGCCGAAGGGGTGTAGTTAATGATACACGCCTGATGCACGTTAAATCGTTAATCGCGTCGCAAAGTCGTCCATGTTACCATAACAAATCAAACTTCTGGGGGTACTGAATTGGATATTGATCGTTTTTTGGTTCAGATCAAAACTATGACCTGTGAGTGAATGAATGGATCAATGAATAGGTCTGCCTTATGAGCGGGCTGTGACGTGTGTGTGTGGCTGAAGTCGCATTCTTGGCCATAGATGGCCCTCTGCCTTAAATTCGCTTGGTTTCATCAAACAGGCTTGCTAGATGGGCTACAACAATAACAGAACATCACCAACTGAATAACAACAGAAACTGAATAATTTTGTATTTTTTATAACAATAAAATCTTAGGGACGTATTGAATAAATGTATGATATACAGTGTGCGCTGTAATGACAATCCTCAATCCTTTTTAGTATCTTTGTTAAAATTAAAACGAAAAGGTCAACACATTAGGGCTAAAATATTGTTCAAGCGGTGTAAAAGGAACAAAAACGTAACCCAAATCGTTTAAATCACTACTGAGGATGTTTGAAAACAGAAAAACCTGTTTGATTACCGGAAAGTCTAGAAGTTCCGAGGGGTTCTGTTAAATTACGATCCCTAATATGTACAGTGCTTGGGGGACTTTCTTACATAATTTTTGATCTAATGATCGGTTATTCTCGTTCTTGGACTCAATGTTAATGATTTGACCTCAAATATTCTAATTAATCACTGCAGACTAGATGATATCTTAAGCCACGAAATAAGACCCAAAAACATACCTTCGCTGAATAAACGATGCCTTTTTTTTTAACGGAATTTGATTTGCAATCCCCCAAAATATAGGGGGACCCACAAAATTCTTGGAAATAGGGTCCCAATAATTTGTTCAGGAGAGAGGTCCTAAGTTTCTGGCACTTTAATGTTGATATTACTTTCTGCGTATTTCTCCAAAACAGGAACTTTTAAAACAAATCTTAAAATATTTACCCACAATTATAAAATTCGTATATCCAATGATAATTTCAGGGAAAAAATAACTTTTAGTAAATATTTATTATTTTTTATTATTTTATTTAGTGATAGTCGAAAAAAAATTGAGTTTAAGGTACATAATTTTGTTTATCCTTTTAAAGTATGTAATTTTACATAGAAAATTTGAGCAGAATCAGTCGAATAGTTCGTGAGAAATAAGGGGTTCAAACTTTGGACCGTTCTCCTGACCAAACTATTTTGGCCATAGTTCCCTGATTGCGGCTAACCCCTTTATTTTGGAGGTGAGAAATAAAATGCCCTTAAAAAAGGTATATTTTTTCAATGAAAGTATGTTTTTGTATCTGTTTTAGTAATTTAAAATATCGTCAGCTCTAAATAATTAGCATATTTGAGGTTATCCCCTCGAACCATTAAAATTGAGTCCTAGATCGAAAAGATCCAATCACTAGATCAATAGTTATTCAGGTTAGTCCTTTTTTTTTCTCTTTTATTTGCTCACTGTACATTATTTTTACTTTAATTTTAGAAGGTTTGGAGATTTCGAGAATGATGGAACATATTGTATAAGTTTTAATTATTGTAAACAAAAAGTGTGAAATAGTGTTTCGAATTGTAATTTTATTTCGGTTATTGAACGTTATTACATATTCAATTTTGATGGAAATTTCTCGTTCTTTTATGAACTTTTAGCCTACTGTTTCAAAGAAGCTATGAATTTTACACAATTGCTCATTAGTGATTCGAAAAGCTAGTTTGATACTTTGGTGTTAAAAAAAGGAATGTCTTTTGAATGTAAAAAGATTGTGGCGTAACTACCACTACGAAAATTAAACATCAATTCACTAATACATAAGGCATGCTAACTTGATTCAATCGTGAGGTACCTTTCGATAGATGAAAGTTGGCATTGTCTAGTGGTCTTGTCCCAACATTGGCGACTTGAGGAAGTGATAAGATCACGCTTACTTCGATGGATGGTTCACGT